ATTGAGAAAACAGTGATAGACGCGACCGGGAGCATGGGATGCTTTTTAAAAAGTAAATTAAATATTATGAATGGATCCTTTAAATGAGTTTGGATTTTATTCGCTATTGCTGTTGCCAGACAGAAAATACACCAGCAAAAACTTGCAGCAGGGTAAACCAATTACTTATCTGTATTAAAATATAGGGAGAAATGCATTCAGTAAAAGGAATGTAGAATAAGCCTCTTTATATAATTGTAGAACACTGGACTCTGTACGTGTATGCTCAGACAGTGTTCCCAAGGACGCCTGGTCACATGAGCTCTGCAGCCCACAGAGCCTCAGTCTCCTGCAGGCCAGGAAAAATCAGCAGAGAAAATTTGAGTCTTCATACGGAGATGCTCATCGGTGAGGAACACTTACCCTCCTCAAATCCCTGTACTGGGGAGATTTCTCTTTGAGGGATAAGGGAACACTTCATACCCTTTGCTCTTCTCTCACCTGGAAGAGGACAACGAAGACTGTTCCTCTGGTTAGGCAGAAGGGTTACCAGTCACCAGGCCACAGCTTAACACAAGACATGGGGGCATGACCTCCAAAACGGCGTCAAGCCGTTAACCTTGTCCTTTCTCTAGAGCTGCCTGTGAAGAGCTCCTGGGATGGAGAGGAGAGCCAGGACCCCTCTGGGCTTCCCTGACCTGTCTGAAGATGCCTGTCCTCCTCCCTTTCTGGAGACAGCCTCTGAGTCACCTTTTTATTCCTTTTTTTTAAATCTCTGGAGCTCTCCAATCATAAATGCCTGTCTTATGAAGTTATTAACCGGGGTGCCTCTCAGAGGGGCTGGGAGGGGACACCCAGTGTCAGCTTTGCACAACCACCCTTGCCACACATGGGGTACACTCTAGATATGAGGGGACAGTCCTCATATCTACAGATTCCAGCAGATCCCTTTAGCTTCTGCCTTCCCAGGAGTTGCTGGTTTTCAAGGCTGACTTGGAAGAATAAGATGGGAGGCAATGCATCTTATAAGCAGCTTCACTGTTACCTAAAAGCCATATTCCAGGTCTCACAAGCACACAGGACCAAGGCTTAGCTGCGGCTATCCAGAGTGACCTAGAGAGCAGAGACCCCGTGGTCAGGAAGGTCACTATGGGTGAATCCCCACAGCCCAAGGTTGCACAACATTCTGTATCTTTTCTGTTTCCCCTTTTTGTTCCCCCTTTAGCTCTCCATGGCTCGCCAGAAAAGTTGCCAGGGAGATACGAACCCACATTTAATCAGCACTTAAAGGGACCTGGCCAGATTTCTCATTCACTGAGGAGCAAAATTAAATCTGACTGCTTCAGATGTCCTGTGACTTTAATAGGCAAAGACTGCTATAAATATGAGCAATGAATTTTAGGTAAAATAGCTTGGGAACCTAATTCTTAAAAGTATTTTCCAGGAGCTGGGCATGGTGGCTCACACCTGTAATCCCAGCACTCGGGAGGCTGAGGCAGGAGGATCGTTGCAAGTTCGAGACCAGCCTGGGCTATAAAGTCAGCTCAAGGCCAGCCTGAACTGCATAGAGAGACTGTCTCAAAAAGACCAAAAAGAAAAAAAATAATAATTTCCAGGCTGGAGAATGGTATTATGGCAAAGTAAATTAGGGATGATGGTTTTCTCTCAAAACCAAATGACAAGACACTGCCCTTATCATGCTCCTTGGGGATTTAAACACTGTGGCCTGGGTCACACAGACCCTTCGTCACTGCTGGCTGCTGGTCCTCCTCCTGCAGGGCCATCTTCAGACAGCCATGGACTGGGAGGAATTGCTGTCAGGAGTCGAGGATGAGGAGCCAGGCTGAAGGCAGCATGGGAAAGCGCTCGGAAGGAGACACTGCCAGGGAGCAAAGCATTTGCCTTAAGTCATGGCAGAGGAGCAGATAGCCGCTCAGCATGTTTGCTTGGTTGTTCCTGTTGCCTTCCACTGCCTGCCCCTGTGCCAACCTTACACTGCTCTTTGGATGATAGTCCTTTCTGTGTATCTTACAGAATTATTCAGCAGGAAGCAGGACAGAAAACAGGACGTGATCTGGGGGCCAGGGAACTGCCAAGTCCCTTTGCCCTGCTTGGCAGACAGGACCTTAGTGAGGAAGCCCAGCTACACTGCTGTGACCCAGCAGAAAATGAATGGCCCAGAAGAAAGGTCATCCAGCAACCAACAGTAGGACGCCTCCTGGATTCACAGTGATTGGGCACGCGTTCTCTAAATCCTTTCTTCACTCACTCGGCAGATACGGGGCCAGTGCCCACTCTGCGGGGTCTCTTCTCAGTGCTGAGAACAGCGCAATGAAGAAACATCAGTCCCTGGCCCCAAGGGGCTTCCATCCTAGTAGTGAAGAGAGCAAGCATTTGGTGAGTGATAAGTGTGACAGAGAAAAATGAAACAAGGAAAGGGTTAGGGGTCTTCCTCTTTCTGTGAGACAGGTGTCCCCAATCTTGCCCAGGCTAATATTTAACATGTGGAAAAATCCCCCCAGAAGTTTTTCTGCCAAAAGTTCCCAAGTAGCTCTGACTACGGGCACTGGCCACTGTGCTGGACAGGATCCTTCACTGTGCAGTCAGATCTCCAGACACTGGAGGAAGGTTTTCAACTGTAAAAGAGAAAATAGGGACCCAGAGGGAAAAGACTGAAAAAGAGAAGGACCCAATAGGCTAGTTTTTTTTCCATATCCATTCTTTCCTTTTTTTGATATAGACCTACCTAAAACACTTTGGTATAGAGGCAAGAGACTTCCCAGCCAGGGGCCCTGTGACTTAGCCTCTTACCGGGGCCATGAGACACTGCTCTGGCTATGGAACACATTATGGTTTAGGTCTAAAATGCTCCCCAGAAGTCTCATATGTTTAAGAGGTGATTGGATGTAGGGGTTCAGTACTCATCAGTGGACTAATCCATTAATGGGTTTGTAGCTAACTGCAGGATTGGGAGGTGGGTCCTGCTCAGAGCAGGTGGTCACTGGAATCACAACCTGGGTGGGTGTGTTCCTCCCTTCTCGCCCTGTGTCCTGACTGCTGTGTGGCAAGGAGCTCTCCTCTGCCATATGCTTCCACCACACCCTTTCTGCCCCAGAAATAGCAAACCATGGACTGAACCTTCTGAAAACCATGAGCCAAAATAAACATCCTCCTTTACATTGTGGCATCGGATATTATGTCCCAGTCACAAGAAAGCCTGCTAATACAGGGCATGAATCAAAGCGATGCATGTAAGTCCTGTGACCTCTGGGAGAAAATTCCACGTGCCTATTCTGGACTGTTCTGAGAAAGGGAAATAAGCTTGTATCAGGCGTTTATGTCTTAGTAACAGTATCTTCACTTGTATCCCAATTATGTTGGTGATGGGAAATAGAAGACCCAGCAGAGGAGAGACAAAGGGATCCGCGGTGTGGGAGTGAAGGGAAATGCAGCCCAGATGGCAAGACAGCTCTCAAGACCTGGAGCAGCTGGCCCAACTGGAGCTGTGAGTTTTCCATAGGGAAGGCGCTGCTGTTATATATATATATTTTTAATTTGGCCATGCTGGAGATTGGACCCAGAGCTATGTGCATGCAAGGCAAGTGCTCTATCACTGAGCCACGGCCCAGCTTTCATTTTCTTTTGGAGGAGTGAGTGCCCAGATGGACTGATGAAGATGCATGTTTGTGCTTAGCAAGCCTAGTGCCGCTGACAGCTCTGTTCTCAAACTGCACACCCGCCCAGTGGAGAGGTGGGCTCTAACCTGCTTCTGAAAGCAGAGCGGGCTGTGCTGAGAAACAGGAAAAGCAGAGCTGCCCATTCCCACTGACCATGTTTCTGGGGTCACCCGGACCTGTGCCACCAAGACTCCTTTGGGACCTCTGGCGTCCCTGGAGGCCCTGATAAGCTCCTGGGGAAGTTGAACAAGTATAGGACTCGGAGCGGGTCCCCAGCTTCTCTCGTGACTGTTCATGACTGTGGTGACACAGCTCGGCTGACATTGGCTATTGCTGTGCATAAGGAAAATGTGCTGCTTAGGGATAACATAGGGAGAACTGTAGAGGGAGCCTTTAGGATAAACACAGCAGAAGCGAACTAAAGGTCACCGTGCAGAGGAAGAGAGGCGACTAGAGGACCACATGGGCCTTAGGACTTTACCAGGAACCTTAGAAACACTGTGTAGGTTTTACTTCTGACCCAGCAGATAGAAACAGAGAAGTAGAAGCACACAGTACAGTCTCTTTTCTGTTTGGCTCCATGTTACAGTACTTTTACAGATCAAGCACCTATGCAATTGTAAGTGTGTGGCAAGGTTTACAAGGAGCCGATCAGGAAAGGCTTTACCATTGTTTGGCTTTTTGAGCCGCACACAGTGCATTGCCTTAATAAAATGGAGCTAGGCTAGGCACTGGGTTACAAGGATGCCTACTTCCAGAGTCTTGCCTTTGGGTCTTTCTGAATCTGGCAAAAGACCCATTCTGGTGATCGATGGCAGCGTAACCTCATCAGAGTTCGGTGGTTCCTGAATGCTGGATTACAGAAGGGGGAGCAATGAGACTTTTAGTCAAAGGGCCGGGAGGGGAGAGGGGAGTTAAACAGGATAAAGAGTCTGTAAATCAGGCCATGAAGCGGGGGGGAATGTGAACACAGAACAAAGATGAGGAGGAGGAAATCAAGGAGCCAGGAACCAGAAGTGTGAAAGGAAATACAGGGGATGGTCCTGACCAGGCCAGGGGCTGTGCCCCATCTCCAGACAGCATTCACAGTGTAGAACTGTGTGGAACCTGCACCACTGTCTACAGCAATCTCATTTGAAGGGAGTAGGCAGGGCTCATGCAGTGGGAGGGGGGACTCAGAAATATAAAGGTATTATGTGAGTAATGGGAAAAATAGGATATAAGGTGGAAAAAGAAGGTTAATGAACCTGTATGGGGAAAAAGTAAACATTATGAAGTAGGTTAGTGCTGACATTTTTAAATTATTTGTCATTCTGATAGGAAATTAAAAACTACAACCACACCTTATATGTAAACAATGACCCACATGTCTTTATTATAATGGCAGGGACAAACACAAAACTTTAAGACAGTATATTTCACATTAATGTTATCCCTTAAAAAATTCTTGAGAATGTGGACAAAACTAGATACAAATCACATCATAGCTACTGCTTTATTAGAAGAGAAACTAACTGTCCTCACTGGAGACCACAGAAAGAAATTAACTTGATCTTGCAATTATAGAACACAAATTTCACAGTAATTTTTAAGGTGTGTGAGCCATAGAAGGAATTACTTAGGATTATGTTTCTCAAAGTTGGCTTCTTTCTTAGATATATTCTAGGGTGGGGGCTGCAAGTTTTCTGCAATCTTGTTTTGCATTTCATGGTTTAATATCTCTGGTAATCTAAAGCATTAGTACACAGCTTCTGTATGTAACGGCGTTGCCAGGTGACTGTACCGTCTGCTCCAAATCGCCACCCACATGGCCCAGAGACTACCAAGTGAGAATCAAGACTTAATTTTTTCATATAGGTTCTCACATGGGGCGCTCACACCCTCTATGAAATTGGGGAACACTGAAGATGGGTTCTGGCTGTGATTCTGAAGACAGGATAGGAGAGTGCATGCGTGTGGTTTGAAGAACAATGTTCAAAATAGTCACCAATTTCATCACTCAGAGCCAGGTTCAGAATAATTTCAGCTGATAGCAATAGCAGAAAATCAACTATAGCCAGGCACGGTGGGACACACGTGTAATTCCAGCACTCTGAAGGCTGAGGCAGGAGAATTGCCGTGAGTTCGAGGCCAGCCTGGGTACAAAATGAGTTCAAGGCCTGCCTGAACTGCATGGTGAAACCCTATCTCAAAAAGACAAGACAAAAAAAGAAGAAAAAACCCCACAAAAACAAAAGAAAACCAACTGTAGATGCATCCTGGGAGATGGGGTGTCTGGATACACATGACTGAGGAACATTGCCTTAGAGCTGGAGGTGCTGGCCCTCGGAGAAGAGTTTGTTAGAAATGCGCAGAAGAGAAAGATCGTGTGGATCAGTGAGTGACTCCTAAACCAGAACCTGTCATTGTCTCCTGGGAGCTACGGGGCAAACCCAGAAGAAACCCACAGTAGTTCATCAATCTTCTTGGCCCTGTCATGAGGGACAAGTTGGTCTACTTTTTGAGGCAAAGAAGAAGGAAAAAAAAAAAGCTGATTTTGTTCAAAAATCCCGTCACCAGGAAGTACCATCATTCTTTTCGATGTCATCCAGCTCTCACGGGTGACAGCAGCACGGGGTCTGTTCTGTTAGGGAAAAAACACAGAATTGGATCTTCTTGAGAGACAAATTACTGTATCTTCACTTCCCCTCATCACCAGTCATGCAATCTCACTGTTTAAACACACTTTGCCATAGATGGGCTTGGGGTGGAGGTGCCAGCCAAGCAGGGACCTCACAGGAGGATGAAGGAAGAAGATAATGCAGACAAGGAGGCCTTGTGAACAGCTGATGAAAGCCCATGCCAAAATACAGGGAGCTGGGGAGATGGCCTCTCCCTTCCCCTCCCATTCTTAAGCTAACCTTAAAGTGCTAAATGTGCACTTTAAGTTATTTGTCATTCCGATAGGAAATTAAAAACTACAACCACACCTTATATGTAAACAATGACCCACATGTCTCACTGTAGGGCCTCCGCCTGCTCTCGCTCTTTCTGCTCCCTGACGCTCCTGACAAGTTGCTGTGCATGGCCTGTGTGTGTACTATTCACTCCCTTTGCCTGAGAAACCCCAGCTTCATCTCTGCTAGCTGTCTCCTTCCTCTCCAGCTCCTCCCGAGAAAGACCCACTTTCTTGCAGTAGCTCGGCTCGACACTCAGCTACTCTTGCAGTAGCTCAGCTCCAGAATAATTCGGAACCACTAATTCAGTTTTTTGTTTATGTTCTGTTTCCTTAACTTTTACTATATTTAATTAATTAATTAGTTTATTTATTGAGACAGGGTCTCACTGGTGTAGCCCAAGTTGCCATCAAACTCCCTATGATCCTCCTGCCTCAGCCTCACGAATGCTGGGGTTACAGGTGTGTGCCACCACTCTGGCTTCTACTTGGGCTTTTAATGCTTTTAAAACCTGGTGTGAGGCCAAAAAATGAACCCAGGCAGACAATACTCTCCTGTGATAATGAGTTCCCAGGTTGTGACCGAAGCTCTATATTTGGCTGTTGAGTATTTTATGTTGGAGGATGCAGCTGTATTTTTTCAAACATTTTTTTCTCTTCTGTTGCTAATCTGAGTAACCATTGAACATTATATATGACCCAGAGATAAATTACTAATCCCTGGGCAATCGATTCCCTCCAAGAACACTTGGCTCAAGGTCCACTCCTTCCTCCTTTGACTACGGAACACCCAAGTGCCTCTGAGTCAGAGGCAGCGGAATGACTGTGGCTCACACTGTGGGCTGGAGAGCTGGTGGGGGGAGTTACTCATCCGTCCCAACAGCAGGCTGGTTCCTTTCTAAACAGCTCATCACCACCATGATTTCTTCTGAGCTGAGGATCCCCTTTAGGTTAGTGACTCCAATACACTTCGTTTTGGCTTTGGGGAAGCCAGTTAGATAGGGTGGTTTTGCAGTGAAGCACAAATGACCTGATTTCACACTGCAGGGGAGGAAACGCAAACTGCCTCTGTGCTCTGGCCCCGTGCAGCTTTCTTCCCGGAGCTGTGCCTTCTCACTGTAGGGCCTCCGCCTGCTCTCGCTCTCTTTCTGCTCCCTGACGCTCCTGTCAAGTTGCTTGCATGGCCTGTGTGTGTACTATTCACTCCCTTTGCCTGAGAAACCCCAGCTTCATCTCTGCTAGCTGTCTCCTTCCTCTCCAGCCCCTCCCGAGAAAGACCCACTTTCTTGCAGTAGCTCAGCTCGCCACCAGCTTCCTGGCACTCTCTGTCACATTGTCCCATGTGCTCCAGGGGTGACTGACTGCCTCTGGAGCTGCTAATCTCCCAGACTGGAAGACCCACGCTCCTCTTAGGTGTATCTATGTGAGCACATTGCCTGGCACATGAGAAGTGCTCCATCAGTACTGATTAGATGAAGGCTGAGTGATGGTTTCTCCCACTAGCACAATCCACCTTTTTGTGACATGTGAAATTCAGAAATTATTGATGTCAGAGTCCCCCAGATCACCCCCTCATCGTTCTTTCCCTCCCACGGCATAGTTCCAGGCTCCCTGCCACCCACCTGGAGTCACTGCAGAGCGCCAATCTGCTTCAGCCGGGTCAGCAGCTCCCCGTTCTGCTGCAATGTCTCCAAGTCACTGCAGCCCCCGATGCAGTCTCTCCCGATGAACACCCGGGGGACCTGCAGAAACAAATGAGCCATTGGGCAGTTTCATTACTATGGATCAGAATGAATGGTAATTTACTCTTCTTCTAAATGTTCCCTGTGAGCCAGTGCTTTCCAAGCCACTTTACACCACGCCCTGCAAATTCTCTGGGGACAAACCTTCTTATTATGAGGAAAATTATCATTAAAGAAGGCTTTTAAACCAGAATGTTTTTCCAATTGAGAAGATGGTGTATTTGACTGTCCAGCTTGTCACAGGGATTTAAAAGTGTCACTCCATGGAAACAGGTTTCAGGAGCATGTGATGGCTGCAACCAGAACACCTTAGTCCAACTCGGTTTCCCTGCAGGTGGGGCCACACCAGAGACCTTAAGCTGGGCCACCACCCAGGAGGGTGTCTAAGTGCAGCTTGAAAAGTATTTGCCGGGGCTGGGGATTTAGCTCAGCATAAGCGCCTGCCTTGGTCGTGAGTTTTGATCCCTGGTACCAATTAAAAAAGAAAAGTATTTGCCTTTGGTCTCTGTGTCTGACTTGCAGATTGGCTCTTTCTTAAATATAATTGTCTTTCTCTGTTGTTAAAGCACAGGTGAGCTGTGCCAGTGCAAGGGGCCCGTGGAATGGTATCTAGGCATTCTTTGATCCCTGGCCCATGATAACGATGTTTAATTGCTGCAGCTCTGGGACCACAGACAGCCATCTGGTATAGTTCTTACATGGCCTGGGTGAGTAACCAAGGCCTGACAAAGCCATTGTACTTGCTGAATAATGGGTTTCTGTCCAATCACACTCCTCCTGCTGCTAAGTATCTCCATATTCCAATGTTTTTTAGAAACCTGAGGGAAGAGAAGTTCCCCTCCAATGGCGCATAGGCAACTTCCAGAGGCTGATGGGTAATGAGGAAGGGACTCCCTGCCCCCAACCCAGGCAGGTCCTCTCCTCAAACGCAGGGAACACAGAGTAGCAGAGGGATGGGAGACAGGAAAGGGAGAACACAGTGAGAATATTTTTCAAAGTGTTTGATTTTCTTCAGAAAGCATAATACTGTGATTCAGGCAAATTGCTCCAAAAGTGAAGAAGATTTAAAAAAGGGCTGAGTTCTTGTACATAAGTTCTTGTAGTATTTTTATTAGGAAGGGTGTCCAATGGCAGTAGCCTTTAAAAGCTAACACTAAAAATAAATCCTGCACCACAATCCACAGCTATTTCCTGTGCCTTGACACTGGGAAAAGATCCACAGGCCTCCTTCGCTGGAAGGTGCCTGGTAGTATCCACTGGGCCCCAGAAATTATTATCATCAACTGAGATGAGAAAAACTGTAGAAGGGTAGGGAAGAAACCAAAAAATTTCCCCAAGTCCTGGCCACTGCGTTAGAGAAAATAAAGTTTCTTTTGCCCACATTTCTGGGGCCTTCTAGCTTCTTCCTCCCCAGAAACACTTGGCTGTGGCTGTAACAGTTAACAGGAGCCTACTGTGATTCCACTGCAGAGCTCCTACGGCTCAAGGCGCTGCCTAAAATTAAAACCATCTGAGCTTTAAATGAGGAAGCCATGCATTCATTCTGGGACTCCTGTGTTTTCACGGAGAACGCCATCCTCCCGGCCGTTCGGCACCACATTGCACCCTTTGCTCTAGGGAGTCGATTCTTCGACAGCACCTTGGAAGGACAGATCCAAACGCAGATTTCTTCTCTCCTACCTCTCATTGATTTCTGACTTGGGAAGCCTGTGCAGTGTTCAAAGGATTTACATTTCTAACAAATGAGGAGGTGCTGCCCGCAGCCCGAGGACCACATTTTTAACACTGGTTTTCACTGAGCGGACATTTATTCCTCCAGGACAACCACGGCTTTGCAAACTGCAGCCCCAAGCTGCCCCAGGGCTGCCCCAGGGCAGAGTCTGTGCTCACACAGCTTCTGGTAAAGCTGCTGTAGGGCCTGAGAGCAGGAAGGCTCCTCTCCCATGCCCCTCCCCCGCCAGCCAGAACTGCAGCAAAACCGCCTTAAATCTCTTGGTTAACAGCATCCTCTGGGCTGTGCAGGACAGTGTAGGGGGCTCTCGGGTGAGGACACAGGAAACAGCAGCGGTGGTGACTCAGCTGAGGAAAAGACAACACACCCTGTGCCGCCCTGCCCTGCTGTGGAGCCCTCACTGTCCCAACTGTCGCTGGGTCACTCGGGCCCTTCCTCTTTGGGGCAGGCTTTCCCACCCTGCCCTACATGCGACTACTTAAACCTGTTTCCCAACATTCTCCAGTGCAGCCTAGAGCCTCAGTCCTTTCCCACCTGAACCACCACTGCGGCCTCCAGATGTCTTCTATTTTCAGCCACACCTGGGTCCTTCCAAGGTCTCCTCCTCCCATGGCACCCAGAGGGACTCCTTTTCAAGACTGAGACAAATGGAGTCACCCTCTGCTTGAAAACCCCTCATCTGGTCTGCTCTAGTACCAGCCACGTCCATGTAATAGAATTGGAAAGACCTCTCAATCCATCTTCTCGGACCTCCTCTGACTCTCCTAATTCACAATGCTACAGCTACACCGGCCCCTTTGCCATTCTGTGAGGCACATTCCTACCACAGGACCTTTGTGCTTTCTGTTCTTGCTGTCTGGCCTGTATCTCTAGATTCCTGATGGTTTCATTTAAAAGTATCCTGCTGCCTACCCACCTACCTACCCAAATACCATTTTATTATAGTTATCTCTCCCACTAGCATGCAAATTTGAAAAGGCTTTGTCTACCCTCCCACACACCACCCCACCCTTGGCTGCTTTCCCAGAAAACAGCCTAGTACATAGTAGGTGCTTAAAACCTTTTTTTTTCCTCTTGCATCCAGCAAAATCCTTTATGTGAAGAAAAAAAACTAAGCTTTCTTGACCCAGTAAAAATTGAGAAAATTTGTTGCCAATACACCTGCCTTACAAAAAGTATGCCAAGATGTTCTTCTTGGAGAATGAAGATACTGTGGATCAGAAACTCCACTCCTGGAAAAAGGGGTAGCCGAGGGTGCTGATCAAGGTCCCTAACCCTAAACCCTAACACAAAGGCCACACCAAGCTCTCCGGCTCATGGAAGCCTGAGTTTCCACCATCAGTCAAGTCCTGCTGAGCTCTTCCTGTGCCGGCAGCCCAGGTTACCCCTGGGTAATGGAGACAGTAACTGCTTTCACGTTTTCAATCTCTTTAAATATAAACACTGTACTGTAGCCATCATGAGGCAGATCATTTTGAAGGACGTGTCCTTCTCCGTAGGGAATGCATTGTAGACTGAAACTGTGAACAGTATTTTTAAAAATAAACAACACACTGCTGTGAAAAGGTTTCTTAAAAAGAAAACTAAAAGGTCAATAACAAACTTTGCCTTTTCTAATTGAGAACAGAAACTGCTGTGCTAGGCACAATAATTCCCAAACTGATGCAAAGTGAAATCACCTAAAAGTCTTTCAAACCACTGATGCCTGGCCCCAACTTTGTGGTATAATTGATCTAAGGTAGGACTTGGGCATAGGATTTTAAACGCCCCCCCCCCCATGACTCTGTTCACCAGCAAAATTTGGGAAACCCTGGCTGAGAAGGATTTGAGATAGGAACAGAGGCAGGGCCACGAGGGTCACTGTGTCTCCGCTCACAGCAGCAGGGTGACATAGTTCGCCTTTATGTGTGTTCCAGCGCTCATTTCTGGTTGGAGAGAAGGGGAGTGAATTCCAGGGCTGTACACAGAGAACCCAGAGAAAACGTCATAAGTCAAACCCACACTGAGATGGGACTCTTCCTTCTACTGATGCTGGGTCCTAGAGTGCATCTCCCAGAGGGCAATTTAGGTGAACTGGGGCTATACCTCGTCTTCCCACCTTGAGCAGCAGAATCCCATGGAAAATCCACGCACGCAGTCCTACAGTGTGCTTGTCACAAAGGAGACTTCCTGGTCACCCACTGTGGTCTTGCAGCTGTAATCTTTGAGGACCCCAGAGGATATGACTTGCTAGGGACCACAAAGCAAGCCATTGTGGGAGTCTGGCCGGAAGTCTAGCCCACTTAAAAAGTCCCACTGCCGTTAACTTACAACAAGGAGCAAATAGAGAAAGTGAAGGATTGGATTTTTCCACTGGGAGGAGTAGATAAGAAAGAGCAAACAAGGTTAGGGTTAAAGAAAGCCACGAGGAAGACCGAAGGACAGCAGGCCCCATGGGGCCATGTGAGAACAGGGGAAGCATGCTCATGGGTCCATGTCACAGAGCAGAAATGTGCAGATCATACTGACCTCTCAGCCCACCTCCCGCTCCCAGTCCTGCACGCTGAAAACTGTCAGTTCCTGGCAGGGCTGAAAACAAAGCCGCCAGATGCAGCCTTGGTGACTCCGGCCAGCCAGCGGCTGGCCCACATAGCCTGGCTGCCTCGCTGGCTCCACTGAGAGAGGACCCTCTGGCCGCTCAGCTGCCCATTCAAGGGACCCGTGTCTTTGTCTGGGCTCCTCCCCCACACCCCCAAAGGCCTCTGGAAACCCTGAAGGACAGAGTGCTGGCAGGGTCCTGGAGCAGGCACAGATACACATTCGCTTACAGCCCTGGGAAGAAAAACCAGCCAGGATCCTTTCCAAAGGAACCCGGAGCTCACCGTTCTGGCGCCTGTCAGCTGTTGCAGATAATCCTGAATCTCACTTGTGTTGCTGGTGGCTGTAATATCCACGAATTCGAGAAACCCCTCTCTGAAGGGCAACTGACTGAGGATCTCTTGGGTCTTTCTGCAGTAGGGGCAGGTGGGTTTGATGAACACAACCACCTTCCCGGACTGGATTTTGCCGTTCACAAACGCTTGAGCCATGCCGCAGGCTTCAGTCTCCTAGGAAGAACCCCCAAAGGCAGATACAGCTCTGAGCTGCTGAACCGCGGGCCAGCTGGCTGCTATCTACTAAGGAACCTCCCGGGGGGGAGGAGTTTGCCTGGTAGTGTGTCAGTTTTAAAGGGACAGCCCCGAAGTCATTGCAGGCGAGAGCAGGACTCACTGCGCCTGTGAAAGCACAGCTTGCTTATGGAGTCCTTGGGAGCTCTGTGCTGCTCCCCTGTGCTCCGACCACCAAGGGCGCCTGCTCTTGGCCCCAATCGGAGTTCAGCCACCTTCTCGGGGAGCGTGGAACAGCCTCGGGGAGGAGGCCAGTTCTTTGTTTCTTTCCTCTTAGAGACACAGTTGGTTTTTAAAATATAAACACAATTATTCAAGAAAGCACAAGCTGTGGCATCTCTGTAGAGACAGTAGGATTGAGATGGTGGCTTGGTGCTCGCAGGATGCTCCACTTGGCCCAAGCAATGGGTGCCTGGTGTTGGGCTGACCATTCTAGAATCACTTGTCAGCTTCTAAAAATCTGAAGATTGCACACAAGCCTCTGGACTTGCAGCTTCTCTGTGAAAAGTCAAGTCCAACAGCACTGAGCTTGGCATTGATTAGGGCAGCAGGCAAGGCAGGGGACAGTGGGCCCCAGATGTGGCCCTCTTGGCCAGAGCTGCCTCAGGAGTCTCCTGCCTCACTCCACCAGCATCTTCAACAGCAGTCTGGTCTGTGAGCGAATTCAGGCAGCAGATTGAGGATTTTCTTTTGACTCTGTAGTCTTCCGTTTTCCTTGTTAGGGAAGGAGTGGGATAGTAACTTAGCCACTGTATTCACCACACTGGAAGACAAGGCAGGGGCTGAGGACAGGAAACTCCGCTCTTCCCACAGATGCCTGTCCTCCCTTCCAGGCAGAGCAAAGGATTCTGCTCCCAGGTCTCCTTCAGATTCCTCCGGTGCAGTAAGTTAGATACACAAATCAAAGAGCAGTCAATCATCCTTCCCCCCATGACGTGTTACATACAAACCGGTGGACAGTGAGGCCCTGGCCCTGGCCACCTTTCACAGGTGTCCTGTGAAGCCTCACTTTGTCACTAGCTTACGTCCCCTGAGATGTTACGCCAGGGGCTTGCTGTACTGTATCTTCAAAGGCATGGGGCCAGGGTGGGAACTGGAAGCCACCACTGTCCTGTTAGTGGATGTGCAAGCATTTTGTGGGAAAGCAGAGAAAATACTCTCTTAGAAGCAGCATTTTTGGAAGGACAGCTTTTTGGCTGTAATTGTTATGTAAATAACAGTGGCAAAATAAGAAGCTCAGATTCTGGGCTGAGAGAACTCCTTCCACAGCACCCTGGTAGGCTGTGATGCTACAGGCATTTATCTGTGTCAGGCCTTGAGACCTCAGAGCTGGAAGCTTTACCTCCCTCAGAATAAGGTCAAGGCGAGACACCTTCCTTTCTCTCTCAGACTCAGGCTGCAGGGCCAGTCCCTTCCCCTCGGTCCATTGAAGGCCTGTGCCTGCCTTTTTCCTCAGTCTTTCTTTCCTCAGTTTCTGCTGTGGTCTCGCCCTTCTCACCATCTTTATCCTCGGAAGGTAACTATGGGTAAGTCTCTCCCAGGTTAAAAAACCACCACCTCTACTTCCTGTGTCTTGCTTTCTGGCCTTTGCCCTTTCCTGAACCTTGCTGCCTTGTTTGCCACCTGAGTTTTTATTTTCTTTTTTTGTCACTTCCTCTTTCCTCCTTGCATTGTGGTCTGACCTTCTTGCAGTCTGACCATGCTGTTGAAACCCCTCTGGGTTGCTGAATCACCTTGCAACTTGGTCTTTGGTTGAGTCCAGCTGGAAGTCTAGGTGGAGTGAATCTCCCCAAGGATCTGTCAGCAGGAGACCACCAGGGAACTGGGGTGCCGTGGGTAGAGGATACAGGGGGATCAACTGTACTCCACAGCTCAACCGAGGGACTGATGCGGGAAGCCATAGGACAGACGGACATAAGACACAAGCTAAAGAAGGTGTTTCTGTGAGACACCATGAGACACGGGAGACAAACAGATGAGATGGCAAAGAGGAGGGGGCCCCTTTGAGCTGAGGGTCCTCTGCCAGGGCTTGTGGGCCAGACGCCTTTGTGTGTGCGTAAGAGCCCATGAGAGAACACAGGTTCTTCCAGGAGTGCTGAGTGGGACGGGAGGAAACTTTCTCAAAGAGAAGTGTTTTTGTTGTCCAAATGGTTGGCAGAAAGCTAGTTCTCTATGCAAAATTGCTGCTGTTATTCATTTGATCTCACTTGTACCTACAGGCTGATGAGGGCTGCAAAAACCTGGCTACAAACAAATGTTCGCCAGGTGCTTTCCTTTATTTGCTCACTTACAGGATTTGCCTCTGTCAAATCACTGTTCCCCTCCGGAAGGCCTCTCTTCCCAGCACCAAGGGCAGCCTGATCTTTTCATTCTATCCAGAGATTCAGACTGTCTCAGAAATTTTGCCTATACATGGTATATGCTGGGACTTGGCTTTCTGACCCAGCCTCCTAGAGAGATCTTATCTCCACCTGTGGTTCCCGATAGCACTTTTTGGCTCAGCATGACTTTCATTTTTCCTGTCTGAGCTTCTCTCCTAAGCCCAGGAATGCTTTGGCTCCTGAGAAACCAAAACTGCAGGTTCTTTGGCTTCTCAGCCCCACTGGAACCTAACCAGAGCCTCCCTCTCCTCTGCCTTTCCCACACCTGGCTGCCTCCAGTGCAGGTCAACCACTCACTCGGCCAGGGCGTCTTTATGCTCCTGCTTCTCCTTACGCACACTGCCAGGTGCTCTCAGGTGGCCTCCTAAGTCCCTCCACAGCCTGACAGCCCAACAGCTCCAGCAAGGCCAGCATGCCTTCCCCTGAGCACTTCTGCCCCGCATCATGCAACTGGATCCACATTGCTGCCTGGCCACCGTTAGGAGAGCAGATGCTGCGGTGCCTACAGGCCTAAGTTTCTCCTAGACTGATCTCAGCATCCCTCAGAGATGGCTGCAATGACTGGTTCTTCCTGGGTCCTTTGCCACAGTCCAGTGCTTCCACAGATCCTCCCTTTGCCCCAGCTATGTATACTCGGGCTGTGAGCTGCTGCCTCTCCTCAGCCACACGCACCTTCCCTCTGATTGTCCTGCTGGCACTTGCGTCCAGCGTGCTTTCCCCTCTTCTGTGCAGCTGATTCTTGCTGGGCCAGAGCACCTGTTCTAGGGTCCAGGTCATGCAATACTAGAAGGATCTGCAGGATGCCATAGCCCCTGCTCCCACTGGCTCTGCACCCTCCAGCAGAGCTCACATGATAGGCGGGGCCCTGGCCTGTGACACATCTTGGTTCTTTTCAATTCTTTGTTGTCTAAAATACTTCCTTTATAGCTCAGTGGCACAGTACCAGCCAAGCAAGGAAGGTTATGAGTTCAATTCCTGGTACCAAAAACCCCTGCTAAAATGAGTTCCTAGAGAACAGAAATAAAGCTTTCATCCCTGAATTGTCAGAGCTCAGCAGATGAGCAGCCACACACTGGTCTGTATCCATCCACCTGTCTGTCCTATGAACATTTCCTTAACCAGCCGCTCTGGGCCAGGCACAAGGATCTTCACATACAGCTTCAGGATTTAGTAATTTATGGTCTGTGGGAGACACAGATTTGGAAAATGGACTCAAGTGATATAAAAGAGTATTGCAGAAGTAGAGTGGCCCCTCCTTAGGGAAAGGGCCCATTATAAGAGGAGTGAGGCCGGATCTTCAGCCATAATAGGTACATGGAGAGCAGGTATTTTTAAAACATGGATAAATTTGTAATTATAGCATTTCAATAATTAATGACAGCATCACATCTCCCAAGTTACACAGTAAATTGCTCAGTGCAGCTGGATTACAGAAGAGCTGTGAGAGTGACAGGGATGCTTTGGCGAAGGCAGAGCTTACAGTCCTGGAACTCCCACAGAGCCTGGGGTGGCTGCACAGGGGCAGGAGAACAGGTGTGAGCTGCCCGTGCTCTGGGCTGCCCTAGGATTTCCTACTGCGCCCACTGGGAGGGGATTCAGGTGAATGAGCCAGGTACCAGCCTCACAGACCACCTGAAGCTGCTGGCCTGTGGCTCAGCCCTGTTCCAGGATCCGATCCAGCATGAAGCACTCCCTGGCCCTCTCTAGATCTGACTGTGGAGGACAAGTGTGTCCGACTCTCAGAGTCCCTGACATACTATTCCGTCACCCTCAGTCTCCCTGCGGGTCTCTTAATGCCCACACTCATTTACCATGTACCCATTGTGCGTCCGGCTCCCTGCTAAGAGCTTTATAGACATTGTCCCTGACCCTTTGGGTAACTTTGAAAGGCAGATACTTTGGATCCCAGACTGACTAGAGGCATGAGGAGATGGTTTCTGACTCAGAGGACGTTAAATTCAACCAAGGTCAGGAGAATAAGCTGCTTTGAAGCACCCTCTGTCTATCATTTGGAGAGTGACTGGTGGCCACACTTACAGTTTAGACGGAATATCACCTGCCAGTGCTGGTGCTCTGAGAATCCCTAGGTCCCACTGAGGTTTCTTGCTGTCATTAGGTTCAAGACTATGGTGCCTGGCACCTCTGTAGTTGTTCAGCCCATAGTGGTCTCACTCTTGCTATTGGGCTCATGGGAGAGAAGAACACCCACCGTATATATGCCATGTAAACCAAACTGAGCCCTTTACCAGTGAGGAGAAGCAGCATTGTATTTCTCTTTTCTCAGCCCCCACTGCCAAGGCAGCGTACCTCCCAGGATATCCTGTTCCCACACACAGACTTGATCTGCTTGCCACAGAGAAAAGCCAATTAGCGGAGAGGCAAGGTGGTGGTGGAGAAAGAATTTTGTTATGATGAACCAGCTGATCAGCAGATAGCAGAGATTCTCATCCCAAAGGCCCACCAGTCCAGGAGGCCGCTTCAGGGACAGTTTGTATGGATCATAGGTGGGTGGGTACCTTTCCACAGATGGAAATTGCTGGCTAAATTACACATATCTGATCCTTGTCATAAGGTATTTCTCAGTTTTTTAGATCTCAAGAACAAAGGCCATTATTCCCTTGGGCTAA